TTTTCTGCATAAATTTTGCATGTCTCTTCCTGCCTCTGCCTCCTACATACCAAACCTGGCCAATTTTGTTTTTATTTATCATTTTAGTAGACCACAGACACTGTGTGTGTGTGTGTGTGTGTGTGTGTGTGTGTGTGTGTGTGTGTGTGTGTGTGTGTGTGTAGGCTACTGCTCTACCACTGACCTATATTCTCCAACCCCAGAAATATTTCTCTGAGTAAAAAGCTATATTTTCTACACCCTGAGATTTGGTAAATTTCTGTTGTAGAATTCTCCTAATGTGTAGTATGACATATCATAAATAAGCACAGGGCACAGGTCATTTTGAGAGAGACATGAGGTTGAGTCTGCACAGGTGGCTGAATGGTTAAAACAAAGTGTGCATCTTTCCTATTAATTCCCTGTGGGTTATCTCCTCAAGCAGATCGCAATCATGGTCTCTGCTCTCGGGGACCTATACTGCTCAGGGGTTATCACCAAACTATTTGTTAAATAGTATAATGGTCCTTTTGCAAATACAAGACAGTTTTAGATATTTTAGGCAAATATTTTCAGTTGCTTTATGGAAAAGGAGTTGAAGTTTGTCAACATTAGGGGGTTGAATCACAAAGGAAGTGCTTGGCAGATGTAGTGAGCCCACCTGTAATCCCAGCACAGAGGCAGAGGCAGGCGGATCTCTGTGAGTGCCAGGCCAGCCTGGTCTACAGAGTGAGTTCCAGGCCAGCCAGAGCCACATAATAGAGAGACCCTGTCTCTAATACAGAAACAAAAACCACCAACAATAATAACCAAAATACCCAAAGCAGTTGCTTATCACGATGCTTTCATTTCTAAAGTTGAAAAAGGCCGTTTATTAGGAGGCAGGGCTTTACTGTGTAGGCCAGGCTGGTCTGAATCCTGTCATTTTGCTGCCTCAGCTTCCTGAGTGCTGAAGCGACCGACCTCACCAGCAGGCCTGACTCACAGTGAGATAACCTTACTGCCTCCTGTTTAAGCATGGACTTACTCAGAAAGTAACATCGGCTGGGCTAACACTGTTTAGTGTCTAGTATAAAAAAAATACTGTTCAGTATTCTTGCTGCAATTTACAACTATAACGATATGTCAGCAAATTAGGGAGATGATTGTTAAACGTCCTTAATCTTAACATCTAGGATGAAGTCCTTTCTGGTCACAGCAGATAAAAGCGAACCCTGCCAGCAGAGTAAGGACTAGACGCTCTCCCTCCTACAGGCCCAGCTTCCTGTGCAGGCAGCTCTTTCTGTCTTGCAGGACACAGCACAGATTTGATTAGTGCTCACTCCTGTGTCCTTCAGTAGAATCCCGAGGAGGTAGATGAGTACCCACCAGACACTGAAAGGGAAAGAGACCGGTGGGAAGGATGTCCCGGACTAGGCTTTTGTTGACACTGGCTAGGAGATACAAGCTTTCACTGGGAGGGATCACAGCCATTTCTGATGTGCCTCCCACAGCAGACAGACTTATGCCTCCAGTATACGCTGGCCACATAACTATAGCCCCAGCTACCTGAGACTTCCATCTCAGAACAAAACTAAGCACAGATACTTCTCCAGTATCTACATTTAATTGTGCATAAAGCTTTAATTATGCAACAAGGTATCCTTCTTCCTTGGTTCCCAGATTGCTGCTTCAACTGTACTTAATTTGGGTTTTTCTGAGTGTCTTATAGATTTAAGTCTGGAGATATAAGCTAATGACCGAGTGCTTGCCCGGGATTCAGTTCCTGGACTATCAGCACCAAACAACAACAGCAGAGCAAACATGGAAACTCTCTCTCTCACAACTCCCCTTCCCTCCCCTCTCCTCTCCTCCCCTTCCCTCTCCCCTCCTCCCCTCCCCTTCCTTCCCCTCTCCTCCCCTCCCCTCTCCTCCTCCTCCTTCTTCTCTCTCTTCTCCATCTCCTCTCTCTCTCTCTCATTCTCACACACACACACACACACACACACACACACACACACACATTTTCATTCTTTGTTAAAATTTTATGCATTAGGCATGGCTGATACTTGCTACCATAACCATGCTTTTTTAACTGTTTACAATTGTAAATTCACATGTATTTGTGAGGAACAATATGGAGCTCCTGTGTACGCTCCATCCAGGCTCCTGAATGACATGTGTGTCACTGAGTGCACTAACCCCAGGAAATAGGTATTCTCTTTTTATTTTCTTCAGCATTTACACTTAGAAGCCAATGGCAATATAATGTGGCTACCCTGAGTGGTGTCTGTAATGAAGTACAAGTAGAAGATTTTGTGATTACCTGATGGTGGTCTGATTTTTTTTTTAATTCAAAGCTATCTATATAGGATTTGGTAAAATGGCAACATCTACATTTAATCATGTATACAGTCTCCTTTCCTTTACCTCAAGTAATTAATTCTTCCTCTCAGAGCCAGGTTAGAAGCCTGGGCCCTCCCCTCCCATCTGCACCAGTGCTGGGTTTAGCTCTCTGTGACATGGAAATTTCATTTGTAATTCTGAGGATGTAAGAGGAATGTTTAAGCTGCCAGATTAGTTCACTGGGTTTTATTAAAAGCATAAACCTTGCAGAAAAATGTGTTATAAAAATATATGCCTGGTAAGACACAGTTATCAGTTCAGTAGTTAAATCTGATCATAGCAGAAAAGGATGTGCTGCTAACGTCTCTACCTTCTTTTGACAGTTCTCATTGACAAAGACCAGAGTCCAAAGTGGAAACCAGCCAAGTTACAGGAAGTTACTGATGAAGATCTGAATAGCTATTTTAAATCTCTGGGAAGCAGGGATTTGAAATTCTGAGGTGACCAGACCCCTCAGGTTTATTTTGGAGCGAGGGCCAGCAAACAGCACAGAGCTAGGTCTGGCATCTTGCCCATTTTCATCCAGCCTGCAAGCTGGAAATGCTTTCCTCACTTTTAAATTGTTGGAAAAGAAATTAAAAGACATAACATTTTATACAGTGGTTACCTGAAGTTTAAACACCAGTGTTTATGATGTTTCATGATACAACAGTTAGCTGAAGTTCAGACACCAGTGTTTATAGAACCGTGCTGCAGATAGCTGTACTTGTTATCTATGACTGCTGGAACTGGCCATGTGTGGTGGTTTGAAAAAAGATGGCCCACATAGGCAGTGGCATTATTAGGAGGTGTGGCCTTGTTGGAGGAAGTGTGTCACTGTGGGGTTGGACTTTGAGGTCTCCTATGCCCAAGATACACCCAGTGACACATTTGTTTCTGCCGCCTGTGGATCAAGAAGTAGAATTCTCAGCTCCTTCTCCAGCACCATGTCTGCCTTGTCCTGCCATGATGATAATGGACTAAAAACTCTGAACTCTAAACCAGCCCCAGTAAAATGTTTTCTTTTATAAGAGTGGCCATGGTCATGGTGTCTCTTCATAGCAACAGAAACACTAGGACACCGTGACATATATTGTATGACCCACAATGCCTTAAGTGTCAACTGTGATCTTCATCAGAAATGGTTTGCTCCGCCCTGGTTTAAAAGAAATTCTCAAGAGCTCTAGAGAGTCTTGAGTTACTATCCCTCATTAAAATTGTAACTTTGGCCAGGCGGTGGTGGCGCACGCCTTTGATCCCAGCACTCGGGAGGCAGAGGCAGGCGGATCTCTGTGAGTTCGAGGCCAGCCTGGGCTACCAAGTGAGT